GGATCATCACTTCACCACAATCGTCCCCCGCTCGGAGAACAGACCGTACAGCGGTCGGACTACACGCGTCGCTTCTAAGCGGTGCTGCTCATGCCGTCTTCGCGCCTACATAACACGTCAAGCGTGCCCAGTCGCGGTTAACTTGATCCTGCCATAACCACCACTGCCCCGGGTAGGTAGACACTCTTCCCCATACAATGTCGTTCCGATCTCACCGTATATGTCTCCTCCTCATGCCATTCAGCCACATTTAGTAGTCCAGCCGCCTTGCCGACAATAATCGTGATCATAGGACCTCCGATCATCATGACATTGCGGATGGTATGCGTTCTCGCGTCTTGTCGTCCAATTGGTTATTTTGCATCTCATCGTGATCTTTCCACTCAGTTACGTGTGCCCTTCACCACTTTTGCGCCCCCATTCCTCCGATCACTGCCACAATCTTGGATGCTGGCTCTTGTAAACATCCCTAGCACTTGTTTGTTGATCATTTCTGCTGACGATCTACCTTGTGATGTATCAGCTCTCGACGATCGCGGTGAGCCAGCTGGCGTCATGAGATTAACTGTAGTACAAGATGTACGAGTGCCGGTTGCACCCACCATGGCTTCGACCTCCGTAGAGCTCGATGAGCGTGGCATTCAGACATCCATCACAGCCCTGCAAGCCACGTTAGACCAATTGGCAGCTTTCCATCTCCAGTCAAAAGCTCACCGCGAACTTGAGGTTGATCACGCACTTCTCCAACATGATCACGCCGTCTTACGGCGTGAGACGGACGTTCTTCAGGCGACGTTGACTCGAATTGATGCAACAAGCATTACCGTTCGTCGCTTCCGCCAACATCGTTACGAGCTTCTCCGAATCCGGCAAGAACAGATACTTCGACTGGCCGAAATGGAGTCGGCGCTTGCTGAGCGCCTCGACAACACGTTAGAGGTCGCTTGTCTGCATGATCGACTCCGTGCTCATGAACGTTTTCATGACGACGTGGTAGCCGATTTCCAAATCCAAGTAGACCTTCTGGAGGCCCGTTTAGCGGACGTGAACCCGCCCAAAGGCTACCTCCAGCTTGTGCAAACGATCACCGACGAACGTGACGTAGCTATTCGCGAGAGTGATACCGTTCGGCGAGAGTATGATCATGTTCTGGTGGTGAGGGACGCTGCCATCCAGGATCGCGATGCTGCCCTTCGCCCATCATGATCTTGCCGCTGACGAACGGGATGCCGCTGGCATACGACGTAACATCGCCGCTAGGGACCTTCACGTCGCTATCAGAGAACGTAACATTATCAGAGTTGATCGGGATCGCGCGGTGAGCGATCTTCAAGTGGTTCTCGGTGATCGCGATTGTGCTGTTCGTGATCGCGATTCAGCTATTGGAGAGCGTGATGGCGCTCTTGATGACGCTCGGTGCAAACAAGCTTCACTGGACAAGGCCCTTCAAGCTCGGCCGCGTGATCAACAGGAACTAGAAGCTGCTGGTATGTACACCGGCGTTTCTGGTTTGACCCTCATGGCTCATGCTCTACCTCTTGTGCCCTAAAGGTGTCCGAGCCAAAGCTCAACGCGTACGTATCGCATCCCTCGAGCGAGAAGTTGCTGCGTTTCAACGTCATAACGCTGAAGTCCAGCATCTTCGTAATGAGAGAGCCACCATGGCTACATGCTTAGAAGCCGAGCGCCAGGCACGGATAGCCGCAGAGCGTCATCGAGACCAATTGAGACAAGAACAGCAGATCATCACAGTGGCCGACCGTGATCGTCTCGTGGCCGAGCGTCAAGCTGTACGTGCTCAGTTGAGCTCGCTGAGTTCGGTGTTTGGTCCTTCTGGATCTCCTTCGGATACTCCTGATTCATCTCGTGTTTCTGGCCGTTCCCAGCGAAAGTCATCCTCGCCCGTTGGCCGTGCTTCTCCCAGGTATGATCACTCACCTTGCTGACAGTTTACGTCCACGCACACCCTAGCCAATTTCGTTCCAGAACAGACACACAAGCGGCCACTAACTGGATCCATATCCAATAATCAAGCCAAACGACAGCGTGGTTCTCTCTGCATCCACTCCGACGATGAGGACGACGATGAGGATAATGAAGGAAGATCCAATCGGCTGCCCACTCACTACTCGTCGTCTCTTCCTGCGATCGGTCGACAGGAGTTTCTTCAAGGTTCGCCCAGCGACCCCATCCTTGTCAGCGACGGCGGTGATCTTCCTGGCCTAGATGGTCATGACAAAGACAATGCTTTCGGCAGGAGTGATGCCGATCGTGTCGATGCTTCTAGCAAGAATGATCGCGACGGCGATGAAGCCCTGGACCGTGTCGACTCCAGCAACGAAGAGTTTGAGCATGGAAGAGGTGGTCCAGGTGTCGGAGGATTCAGCCCCAGCAGCAGCCATAGAAGCAGGGGCAGTTCCGACTCCACCTCGTCCCACACGTCCAACAATAGTATCTTGAATCGGCACTCGTACCGTGACCTCCTACCCACGGTAATCCCGCGCAATCAGAGGATCCCCGGTTATCGACGGCCGATTCGGTACCACGCAGCCACAGACTGCGCTCCTTGGTTCCTCAAAGATGTCAGCCGTATCTGCATCAAACAATTAAACGTCGACACTTTGTGCAACTTGTGGACGGGGTCGATGTTCTGGCTGTTCCCTCAGAGCACTAAGGCTCCTAGTATCGACGCTTGGTATCCAGGCCTGATCACCGAGTCCAACGATGGGGTCATTTATGCGACCACACCACCTTCGTGGGAGGCTCTTCGTCGCCCGGTAGTACCTCGATCCTTTGAACTGACCGGGTGGTTTGCTGGCCTCTGTTTGCGCTACACAGATTTCGAAGAGGCTCACCTACAAGTGTTTTGGGAGACCGCCCACAAGCTTCCAATCGGTAGCAAGGCATCCCCATTCCTGAAGCAGCACCAGAAGGATTGTCGTGTCCGCAGGATGCGTACCGGGGCTCGCTGGAAACGGCTGCTCACATATCTGCTGCAGGGTCTCAACAGTGGCGAGTGCGATCTCGATCTCTTGTTGGACCCGTATTTCTTGCTTTTGCTAGCGCGCAACGAGCACACCCACTGGTATCCCGGCTTGGGGAGCCCACAACGTCCAGCTGACCTCCTTGCCGCCTTACAGATGGTTGACGTCGCAGATCCCTGGCGTAACCAGTACCGCGCGAATATCTTGGATCATCCTGGATCGCGTATCGCTCGACTCGACGAGAAGTTCCTCCGCGACGGGGATGGTTCCTAGGAAGTTCGTCGTAGCACGTAGGTCTTTTGTGAGAGTTCGAAATTAACTCTCGAAGTATTTCTTCTTGTACTCATTCTAACACATACAACCCATCCGTGCGACCTTTTTGCACGAATCTCCCCCGTCGCAACTAGTGCGACGGGTATCTGCCCACTTCCTCTTCGTGGAATTACATGACTCCAAACCGGCTGCGGCTGACCTGGCTTCTCTCAAACACACGGAGCAGCGCTCCACAATTCAAATCCATCTCGTCCACACAAGTCGGCTCGTCGTACCCGTTCCAGCGTACCAAGTACTCGCGGCAGTTCCGCCCGTAGTGCGTCCTCCGAGATGATCGTACGTCCATAATCTCCTCCACCTCGTACTCATCCTCATCTAACTCTCGTTCCCAACTGTCTTCCGGCAGGAGTGCTTCATCGAAATCCACACGATCGTCCTCCGAGACGGCGAGTTCCAGCTTCGGCCGATCAGGGAAATACCTAACCGGCTTGAGCTTCGACACGTGAACGATCGGGAAGGTCCGGTATTCAGTCCCAGCGATATCCAGCCTCGCCGCGTGTTCGTCGATCATCTCTGCCACGCGGAACGGTCCATGTCAGAGGTGTGCAAGCTTCCGTGCGTAGTCGACCTTGACGCGATCAAGATACAACCATACCTGACCTCCAGCCTTGAAGTTATACGGACGAAGACCTTCGTTATGGTGGTCGGCCCGATCGCGAATAGCTTCACACAGACGCTCGTTGACGACTTCGCGGGCGCGTTGGTAATGACTCTGCACATGGTTTCGCCATCGACGTGGATTGCGATATCGACGGTGAGTACTTACTACCGGCAGCGAAGCTTCCAAGGTTGATCGCGGATCCCATCCATGAACAAGGAAGAACGGCGTGTCACCTCGAACGCGATCTTGGGCCGTGTTCAACGAAACGTCAGGCGCTCGGCATACTCGTTCCAGTCCTTTTGGTTCACGTTGGCGACATACATCTTCACGGCTCGGGTCAGCGTCTGTACCATCCTCTCCACTGTACCGTTGGCCTGGGGTCGATAAGCCATCGTGGGGATTTGTCGCGGACCAACTATGCAATTGAACGCGAGGAAGACATCAGTCATGAACCCAGGTTCGCGATTGTGCCAAATAACCTCGCTCGCACCAAAACGACGGAACACACTCTCCTCGTAGCTTTAGGCGATCTGCTGTGCCGTTCGGGCGCCACTCGCTTTCACGAGCACGTAACCGGTGAACAAGTCTGCCCAGATTAGAAGCTCTGTGTTTCCTTTGTACGACTTCGGTAGCGACGGGATGTGATCCATGGCAATGATCTGGAACGGGTACGTGGCCTGCAGGTTTCCGGGCAATCTTCCTTGAATGGCAGGTCTTCCTTTTCCGGTCTCACAGTCCACATACTCACCCACATATCGTTGCACGTCACGAAACAGGCCTCTCCAGTGGAAATGCTGCTTGATCCTGGCGATCTTCATCGGCTATCGAGGCAGAGGGTGGACAATACAGCAGAAGTCTGTCATCATCAACTTCGTACGAGTCGGCGATCTTCGCACGCGATTGGGCGTCCTTCGCGGTGAGATCGGCTACGGCCCCTGTCAGGTACGTCCTCAGATCGGCGATCCACTTCTCTTCTCCTTGCGCTTGAGCGATGCGTTCTAACCTCATGCTTTGTACCACAGATTCCGGCAGGTATTCCGGTGGAGATCAGCGTCTCGTCGATAATCGAGTCACGGCGGACACGTGAACGACATTGTCCTCGCTCTTCGGCTTCGGGATCTCTCCCAGTCGGTTGAGCGTGATCAAGTTCTCGAAGATCTATGTCGACGTGACAACCGTACCAGCCTCCACCTGTAAAGCTTCGCTGGCAAGACAATCTACGCTCCAGTTCCATTCCCGCTTTACGTGCACGAACTCGTGCTGAGGCCACGACGAGAGTTTCCCCATCGCTTTCTCACGCAGGAGCTGCAGAGCTGGTGCCTTGTATGCGATTTCCCCTCGCATCTGGCGGATCACCAAGTTGGAGTCGCCGCAGATCACCAAGCGTCCCCTGTCAAGATTCGCCAGGAGGTCAGGCACAAGATCAACCTATGATATTCGGCCTCGTTCACGGTCATCTGGGTCGCGTATGCCGACGACGCGGTGATGATCGTCCACTCGGGCAGCTTCCAGACAACGGCGCTGTACGCTCCCCCACCACGCTTCACCCGTGCAGATCCGTCGAAACTCACCACAATCAGCTCTTTGTCCAACTCGACAGTCGGCGTGTGCGCAATGATCACTTGGCGAGGCTGTTTCATCGGGGCGATCGCTGCCAGAGCTTCGTCGACCTCTTCTCGCGGAGTGATGCTCGCGGCAAGCGTTCCCAAGACCTCGTACTCGCCCTTCGTGCACCGCACGATCTCCAACGTCCGCTGTGACAGGAGGGCGGCCAATGAACCCAAGCGACCCTGCAGACCCGAGGATTTCAGCAGCCAAGCCGGCGTCGAGTATCGCGACAACACCTTGATCGACCTGGAGACCAGCATGGTGTGGCAGACGTCCAAGATTCTCAGCAATGCCAATACCTCTTTCTCGACGATCCCGTAATTCATTTCATTCGTCTTCAAGATTCGGCTCGTGAAGGTTACTGGTCAGAACACGCCATCATGCTCCTGCATCAAGGCTGCGGAGATCGCCCACTTGTTCGCGTAAACTACGATCACGAGTGGGCGATCAGAGTCGAAGTGTTTCAAGATCGGGGCTGACACGATCTTTGCCTTCAGTATGGTGAACGCGAGAGTGGCTCTCGTCCAGCGGTCTTCATCGATCTCGACTTGGTCGGCGTCCCTTGTCTGCAATGGATGATCCACGATCTTCGTTCGGCGACGCAACTCGAAGAAGTCCGACTCGCGCAGTTCGTACAAGATCGCGGCATACACGGCGAAGTCCTCGATGAAGCGGCTGTAGTAATTTAAGCTGCCGAGGAACGACTGCATCGCGCGCAGGCCTGCGGGAACGGCAAGTTGCACAGCGACTCCAAGACCTTGGGGCGATCTTCCAGGCCTTCTATGGAGCCTCGGTGGCCAAGATACTCGACCTTGCGCATGCCCCACGAGCTCTTCACCACGCTGATCGACAAGTTCCAGCGATCGCAGGCGTCGAGCAGTCCTTCAACCTTCTCGTGGAGATTGTCCCAAGAATCAGCGGTGACCAAGCTGTTGTCGATGTACGACCGTCGTCCCACCACCGAAAATCCATGATCCGTCTCTGGCTCGCCTGAGGTGAACACATCAGCTTAGTTTCCCGCATCCTCGCCATTTCCGATCTTGAGGAATCCATATAGGGCATTGTCGAGAAGCCGCTGATAGATCTGCGGTGCGTTCTTCAATCCAAACGGCATGCGAGTCCACTCGAACAATCCGAAAGGCGTAATGAACGCTGAGGTCCTCCGCGCTCGCTTCGTCATTTGCACTACCCAGAATCCGCTCGCCATGTCCAAGGAACAATACCCGAAAACTTTGTAAAGATCCTCCAAGAGATCGTTGATCAGCGGCATGGGGTACACCATCAGCCGAGTGAGCGAATTCACCAAGCGATAATCAATGCAAAGGCGAATGTCGACCCAGTTCTTCTTGACGATGATCACGATCGGCGAGTCCCATGGAGAGGTACAAGGGACGATAATCTTCGCAGACAGCAAGCCCTTGATCAAGTCGGATAACTTCTCACGATACTGCGGCGCTACTCGGCGAACACGTTGTGCGATCGGGGTTGCACCTCCTACGTCGATGTCACATACTACTCCAACTGCTGCGGCCGGCAATGCGTTCCCCTTCCAGATCAGAAGATGGTTCCTCCTCCAGATGATGCGTCGAAGGCGGTTGATCTCTTCCGGCGTATTCCACTTGGGGTCTCCGGCTTGGACGTCTTCGATCTTGGCTTCTTCGGTCGTGTTCACGATCTCTGGCTAGATAGCCATATGTCCTTCGAGATCCTCCGCAGAGAGGCAGCCACCCTCGTGGTAATACCCTTCAGCGTCTTGTTGGATCTCCACCGGCTCCTCCAGATCTTCAATCTTCGGTTCTTCGGGGTTTCATCTGCAGGGGCGTCTTCCACGAGAGTGGGCACCGTTGCTTCAGCATCCAAGGTCAGGTCGGCCTCTGGTTTCGCATGAACTTCTCCTTCTCTGTGCACCTGGCTACCTTGGTCTGTGATCTCTTCCTCTGCGGCCACCTTGGGCTCTGAGGGCTTCGAGTCAGTCACAATCGGATCCGCCCAACGGACAGTCGCATCTGCGACTGTTGGTCGTGGAGTCATTTCACCTCTTCTCAAAATCTTTGTCGGATGGTCGTATTGAGGTCGCTCCACTAGCGGTTCAGAAGACACGGGGGGGCGGCTCTTCACAATCACGTTGCTCGGTCGTCACTTCGAATGCGAGAGTTTGCCACTCTGCGTATCTGCGGACCCGACCGACACATGGCCTGGCACGCGGGGAACAAGATCTTCGGCAAGCCACATCCCGAGTTCGGTGTTTCGAGGCAGGTGGACCTCGTGATCACCAACATTGGTGATCCGCAAGTGTCGCCTGCGCCCAAGTCCCTTCGCAACGATAGGTACCCATTGTTCTCCACGCGCGGTCCACAACTTCTCTCGTTCTAACGCGCGTGGTGGTTTCAGGGGAATTTCGACCGAATCACCGACGGGGATCGCGGCGTTGTCTTCCAGCAGCAGCGAGTGCCTGCTTCGACCATTCGGTGGACGTCGTCCTGACAGCTGGATCCTGACTTCGTCGGCCAAACACGTCGTGCCGTCGGCGAAATCGAGGTGGATCCCGGCTGGGACCATGACGTCCATCCCCCAAATCGCATCTTGACCAGCCAAGGCGCCAACCCAAACATCGAAGAAGTACACCAGATACCCAGTCAGTGTGACCTTGATAGTGGTGCGTCCCAACGTTGTGTAGACATTCTCTCCAATTCCAACACATTCTTGTCTCTGACTTTCGTCTATGATGCAGCCAACCTTTCGAGCAAACGTGGTGTCTACGATTGGGACTTCTGCACCAAAGTCCAGGAGCATTGTGGCCTTCGAGTTGTTGATCTTCCCTGTGATCTTCGCCTGCTTGAACCACTTGCCGGGCGAGTAGTACTTCCAGTACCCTCGCTATTCACTCGGTCTGAGATCCCATCCGATCTCCGTGGGTGGGGTTCTCGTCATCGAGTTCATGGCCTTGAGTATTCCGGACTCCATGTCTGGGGCATGGTCTTTCCAGTATCCACAGGTCTTTCCATCAAGTCCAGTTTCATCACAACATCCGATCGCGCATACTCATCTTTCCGCAGACTCGCGATCGTGAAGGTACGCTTTTCATGAATTCCACGTGTATTGTTGATAGGGTCTTTCGGAGAACTGACCTTCGACTTCGCTTGCCTGTCAACGTATGCATATATGCAGAACTTAGAACGCTAGGCTCGTACCAGATTCCAACCTGGCGAGCGTTCTAGTTTAACATCTTCTCCGCCTTCGAGGGGAACATCCCAGCGTGACGCGTGGGATCGTACCACTGGCGGATCAAGTTGTAAAACTCTTCCATCGGACATTCACCGGCTTCGTGAACTTCGCCACACGCTCGGCAGACGTACAAGCAAGGATCACCTGGATGTCCCTTTCTGCCGCACTTCTGGCAGGTCAATCGCTTCCAACATCCAAGATCGGAGTGCCTCGTGAACCCGCAGTGGGAACTCTTCTCTACCCGATCATTATTTCGAGGACGGGAAGGCTGATCCGCATTGTTTGGCGGGGCTTGGGGATCGCGACGTGGCTTAGGCGGAGTGTCTGGCTTACTTTGATCTGCGACGGCAGCCAGGTAGACTAGAGATCGGCGTTGATCCAGGTCCGAGCCTCCTGAGTCTGATTTTGACCCCGAACTGTCGCTGTCGTTCGCCATGCGGATGGCGCGCACTGCTCGCTGCTCGAGTAGGCTTCGACGACGCTTGCGGAGGTGCTGAAGGAGCTTTCTGACGATACTTAGTTGATCCTGCAGCTGCTTTCCGCTGTCGGGACTTCGCGCGCTGGTGCACACGTAACACGTCCACCCATGCGTCCCCATCTGCAAGGCGCAGCAATGTCAACTGGTCCGCGAGATCGCGATCATACAAGGTCTCAATGAAATGTTCCACGTGTTCTCGGAGAACGGCCGCTGTTTCAGTCTTGATCGCCAGCTTGGCTCGGAGACCCAACACCGTGAGGCGATGGAGATACCCGAGTGGCGACTCGTCGGACCTCTTCATCGCGTGATAGTACTGCCTCGCGAGGGAAACACCCAATCCACAGTATTCGACTCGGAATCCATCCAGAAGATCCTTCCAACTGCCACGGGTCATTCTTCCCAACTGTTAGTACCAGTTTCGCACAGGACCGGTGAGTAAGTTCCCGACGACGATACACTTCTCGCTATCAGGAGCTTGGTCGCGGATGAACGCGGACTTCACTTTACCCAGCCAACTTCGAGCGCGATCTTCGTCAGTGTCTCTGCCAGAGAACTCCTTCAGCTCGGAGATCACTGCCATTCGAACTCGGGGAATCATTGCAGCGCCCCCAGACGGCGCGGCTGCCTCTGCTGAAGCTACAGCTACTCGGCGTGGGACGTCAATGCTTAAGTCGTCAGGATCATATTCATCCGGGGATGGATGGAATGATCCCACCGATTCCATGTCGACGTCAGATGCCTCCTGCACCTTCAGCTGTTCACGACGTTTCTCTTCGGACTGTTCCTTCAAGAATCGATCCATGACTGTGTTGAAGAACGACTGCATGCGGTCTGGCCTGTTAGGATTTGGTGCTGCCTTCGGCGCTATCGCGGCATCAACCTGCGGCTTCTCTTACTTGATCTTCCTCGCTTCGAGCATGGCTGCACCAGACGGTCCAAGCGTCATCATCACTGGCTTGGTCGAGCTATCCGAACGATGTCCGGAAAAACCGATGCTTTTGCGGACGCGAACCCTGAGTATGAGGAGACAGAGGTCGGGTATTCTTCCATCGGGCCAAGACTCGACAGCGACCCCATCGCTCCAACCAGCGGCTTCAGTAGCTTGAACAAGCACTTCGACGACTCCTCTACGGTGGTCAAGCTGAGCTGAAACACAGCGTCAAAGGCACCAGCAACAATCCCAGATTCTTCGAACATGTTCATCAGACTGGTGATCGTGGCCATGAGATCGGATGCTTGAGGCAGGGGTTTGACAGGGCCTTGGAGCTCTCCGATCAGCTTCGGCTTTATCACTATCATCACAGGATCTTCCAGTAGGAACGCGTTGAACTGCTTCCGATAGAAGATCTTCTGCAGCTGATCTGGAGTCCAAGTCCTGACGTCTCCACTCTCCTCCGCGTCGGGTGCTCTCATTTTCGGCTTCCCAAGCTTCGACGGCGACTTCTTCTTCGCGGAGAAGCGGGGTATGGGGGGAGTGGTTGTGGATGAAGATCCTTCCGTTTTCACGGATGGAGCTTCATCCGGCGGATCACGATTCTCATCGCGATCCGCGGAGGGCCCCGAAGGGCCCAAGGGAGGAGGGTGAGGCTTGTTTTCATGGTCCATCGCTAAACCGGCCTCCTATTCCTCGCCAGAGTTCCTCCCACCGCTCTGGCGTTCGATGTATCCTTCACTCTTCAGATGCAACGACGGCGATCCACCTTCCGTCGACGTTCCGATACCTGGCTTATCTTTGATCTTGGCATCTTCCTGGTCGGACTCACGGTGATATCCGGAGTCACCAGAAGATTCAGGCACGCGCACCATTGTGGGGTAGTGGCTCGCAAGGAAACTCGACGCGAGGGGCACTCACACACTTGGCGTCCGGACTCCCGCGGAGGGGGTACTCCGCTCGCCGTGGGGTTCTGAAGACTTCTCACCTTGTGTACCCGTCGGGTGGGACGATTACGCTCTTCTTGGGTGACTCGGAAGACGCCGAGCTTGATCTGGGATGAGTATGTGTGGACGGCACTTGGGGTTCGGCTTGACTGCTCGCGGAAACTCTCACTTGGAGTTGTTAGGGGCGTAGATCCACAGGGAGGGTCCTAAGGCTGTGTTCTCCAAAGGCCAATAGTTCTCCTATATACCAATACGTTGCTTGGCCGCCTTCTTCTGGTGGTGAACTTGAGGGGGTGAGAAGAGAGCGAGGGCGACCTGGGCAAGGTATCCAGGCGTCCTGCACCTCTCCCTTGTAGACTGTTGCGTTCCTGGGTCGTCAGAAGGGGCCAATATACGTCCCTGCTCTGGAAATAGGTGGAACACTACGGTCTTGTAAGGGAAAACTCTCTCTCCGTTGTTGAGTGTTAGTCTCTTGTCTACTTCGCGGAAAAATCAACACTAATATTCATCTACAAACTCCCTAATCCCATCTATCTGCATCTCCTAGGCCTTGAACGTTTCCCAACCGTCCGTTTGCAAACTGGCTCCATGATCGTACTTAGTACAAACTGTACCGCCTCCGTGGAACACCTGGATCTAAGATTTCCTGACATATGTCGTAATGATTGTGCCATATATCGAAATGATCATGTCATAATCATTGCTGATGATCATCTCCGCTGTACCGGAATGATATCACCATGTACCGAAATGATTGCACCATAATCACCTCGATGATCATCCGGACATTGTACCCAAAAGGTGGATCATCGATCTTCCAGCATGGTACCACAAAACTGGTACCTGATTGTCACAGCGATCCGTCTCTCCACACAAGAAGGGATCATCACTTCACCACATAATTTTGTAAACAATTTGCGTGTTACGGAAAGTGTAGGGCTCAATGTTATGGTAATGTAATAGAAGAGCTAGTCTTTGGAATATATGTAGGCACGAACATTGATGCATATAAACAACCAGAGGTCTCGAACCAAATACACATCGACGTCCTTGCGTAAGGACGCAAGCATTGCTTCAAGCCTTTTATTTCGAGTATGCTAGTTGGCCGATTTGACAGGTCTATGCTCGTGTTTCTGAGATATTCACGAGGAACTACTGTAAATGCGGTACTACTGCTTTCTTATGAATAAAATCCTTTACATAGAAGTGTTTGTTCATTCGGAATGAGCCTTAACAACTTTCTCGTTGAGTGCGTACTTTAGATATGTGCTGTATTTTTATTTAGTGCGAATCTAATGCACTTGTACTGTACTTGATGGGCATAAGTTGAAGTAATGGTGCAGGTTCAAATAATCCAGTACACTAGTACTGGGTTATGGAAATTCCTCTTGCTGTACTCACTTCACGGAGCTGCAAGTGCGCGTGACAGATAACAGCAGCACGACACGCCAGCAACTGCGACTGGAGTACACTGATTGACTGGGGCGGCAACAGCTGCACAGAGTTACTCGTGCACTTGAAACTGCTACCAGCACGGTAACAGCAGAGATATTGGTGCGAACAATAACTTGCCAAGTTGATAGATGCCGTTGTGTGGACTCCTCGTCGTCTTACGAGTTAGTACCTTGTCAAAAGTGTTGGTCTCTCTCTTAAATCGCACATGACAGGTAGAAGTTACCCTGTCCACCCTGCCCTCTAATAAAACATTCTCTTATCGGCGCTGAATTGTATAAACGTTGCGAATTGTTTTATAGTACTAATAAGCGTTTGGGCCCCCTGTTTCTGTAAATAATTGATTAACGCTAGATTTTAAATTGGGGATACCTACTTCGATACCCACTTTCGGAATATTACATGATTTTACCTCGGCCAAGCTCAGGTCTTACCGACCTATGATTTTTTCTCGTACCAGTTGTTATTTTGTAATTCCTTTTCGATGGGATCACCATGAATCAATTGGGGGGGGGTGACAATAAATGAGGACCCTAAAAAGCATAGCCGACCTTATGATGAAGTTATGATGTTATACCCACGCGCACATATACGTGCAGCTTCATTTAGAAGGATAGTTTATAGGGAAGTGCGCTCAGTTCTATTTTTCAGTACTGTGTCATGAACAATATATGTGCGTGCACACAATTCTACCAATAGTGAAGTGTAATTAATAAATTACTATCGATTGTTGATTTACTATCCATTGATACTGCTAACATCACTTTAATTTGTTCTTGCACCAAATACCAAACCGCTGTTTCGTATAATTTACACAACGCTTTTTTGTTTTAGCTACCTTTTCCGTAGGACAATTTTTATTAGAAGTTTTTTGACACGGATTTTACCTCTAAATCTCTATCTGAAATACCAACACTGATTCTGCTGAGGATATAGGCCATACTCAGATCACACCAAACGGATATTTTTGTCCTTCAAGCTAGGACAAAGCCGAAAACAGGTATGTTTAGTGACACATTTGAAGCTGCTATACTGTCAGTATAGACGTTGTACGACATCATAATTCCTCGCCGTTATGGAACTAGGAAGTATTTGCCTTACTACCCATACCCGCAAAAATTCGTAAAAATCAACATTGTTGCCAAGGCAGCTCAGTAGAATTTGGTACTACATTTTGTCCTAAAGCAGGCTATGCGGGGCTAATAGCAGTAGCCGGTATTGCAGTTTCCCGACGTAGAGTGCTACGCCGCGAACGGCGCAGCCAACTCGCTTGTATATATATAAAATCGATGTTCGTGGTGACGCTAATCCGGACGTCTGATTGGCTGTACAATATATATAAAATTAGTAAAGGTTCGGTACCGTGGGTGTGTGCCCCACACACTCCATCCACACCTGTGTACTCCACACTATAACTCTTATTAGGAGAGTCTTTGAAGCTTAGCTTGGCATACAAGTATTATACTGTTGTTGCGTCGTATCCTGCGCAGTTTTGTTGAACGTGTAGCTTGGTATTATGGCATGGTACGTGAGTGTAGTACGTCGCACAGAATTGAATTTGTCCTTGAACTGGATAATACGCAAGCACAACGTTCCAGCTCGCACAATATCTATTCCTACGGTGAGTGGAATGAAAACCGAACGTTGTTGACATCAAGATATAAAGGATTAGTAGGGATCATAGCATACGATCACTCTTAAGATTCATAGCGTGCTAACGTCGTCCAAGCTAAATGCACCTAGGAAAGTTTGCTAGGCAAGTAGCCGAGAGCGATTTTACCACTAACGACAAAAAAGTAACATAGCTTTTTGTTCGGATTGAAATGAGATTTATTTCCTGAAAGATCTTTAGTATTATTTCAGTTGTCGTTTCTGTATCGGTTTGTATAAAAGCTTAATTTTGAGGCTTAACTTCATGTTACTTGCGCAACAAACGATAATAGCAATTTCAGTGAATTTCGGAAGTACGTTTGATTGCAGATATTAAGACATTTCCGCAGTTATCTAAATATTGATTCATGGGGCTACATAACCCACCTCAAATGTGTTCTCTGGACATATAAATACCCAGAGAACAAGTTTTTTTGTTATTTTTAAATCTTGTTTAAAAACAGGATGGCGATGAACAATAACGTCTATACCATGTAGTTTTAGTAAATGCGGTTAACATTTCCATTCTGGATTCTTGCTATTTCGCTGAGCAGCAAAGGTGGCCCGCGTGCTAAAGAGTGAACTTTCAAAGAGTTTTTTCCTGACTGATCAAGTTTTAGAGCCTTGAACACATCGCCGGCAGTATTGTCCGCAGTACCTACTAGCTATGTATACACTACGTTTAATAGTTTTAGTTTTAGATAACTTGAAATAATGTTGATTCTTAATTTTAGGGGAAACCCTCACTCAGAGTGGCGCCGTTTCGCGGCGCTGCCACAGACCACTTTAAAAACGGCACTTTTCAGAAATACCCGGCAATGTGCCGGATTATAGTCTTCAGAAGTGCCGGATTTTGGCGACTCTTCATTGAAGAGTATATTAAAATATACTATATTAACAGACCAAAGGAACGATGAGCAAGCTTAAGCCTAGCGTCTCCAGCAAACCTCCTTCTCGCAAGACACCGTTCCAGCCAGCTCACGCGATCCAATATGGTCTAGTGATGAGGGATACGCAATGCTTAGTCTGCTGTGTTCGCTGCCAAAT